ACACTTTAGTGCACTCCATTGCCTTGCAATTGAGGCTGCTTCAGCAAACGTTTTAGTGCACTCCATTGCTTTGCAATTAAGACTGCGGCAGCGTCTCTGCGGGACTGATAAGTGAACTAGCTAATGGAGGCTGCGTGGAGCAGAAACAAAATCATTGTGAGGAAATGCTGTTTATATAATAATAGAGAAACATTTCGGGAACGGCTTTGCCGTGCCCTATGTACACAAAATGCAGCGATTCGTCCACGCGCTACTCTTGCATCTACGCTTCTTGCATCTTGACGGTTGTCGCAATTTAACACACAGCACTTCATTGTATTAGTTTTTACGCAGTCTTCAACTCAAAAATCACTCACAAATTGCAAATTAACACAATTTAAACTGATTTTTCACATATAATTAAATTTCTCTTTCGCTGATTTGTAAACAAAGGTGTGTTTACAAGTTACCACAACTGTCAAAATCGGCAAAACCAAAGTAGCGGTACCACTGACGGCGCCACCTCTGTTCGCTGCACCGTGGCTATCACCTGTAATTGGTGCGCCTTGATTCACAACAGAAAAATGCATACGGTTGCCATGGCAGTAAGCATAAAATTTGCAAATGCAATTCCACCTACAAATCAGAGACCATTTCCACAACATCCTGAACAGCCCTATTGTTTACTTGCAGCGCGCAAGTAGCATATGTCCGGTATGTACATATGTGAATATAGTAAATAATAGTTTTAAAATTTATTTAAATATAGCGGTATAATTTCCAGTTTGCGTATTTATCTACATACATAGATATGTACATAATGGGGCATATTTATAGTCAAAATAATTTTACAAACAAGAGCGGCCTTGCGTGTGTTCCTTTAAATTATTATTTTTTATTTAAATATAGAATAAAAGCCTAATGTTTAACAATAATTAAAGATCTTCTTCATCATCAATAGAATTTGTGGTATCAGCGAACCAGTTTCGTACTTCTCCTAATGCTGGTAACCGGAAACGCCACTCATCGCTAATGTACCGATAAATTTGGTCGCCGAGTTGCAGAAGGTCCATTGCTACACGTCTTTCATCCGGCTTCCAATCTCGATCTCCGCTACCAAACATCTCCATACGCAGCAAAGCTACCATCGAAGACGATATATATTTTTTAACACCATTAAAAAGTTGAGCTTTTGTTAGCGAGTTCTGCATGCTAGCGCTTGTGGCAGCGGTTTGTCGACGGTTGACGTTGCCGCAATCCATTGTAGCCGATGATCCTGGTTGACTTGTAGAGACCTCTCCTATATGTTTTTGCTTATTTTCTTTTTCATGCTGTTTGCATTTTTCGCGTAATTGGAAGTTCTCCTCTTGCAGCCGAAGGTTTTTCTCTGATAAGTCCTGCTCGCGCTTTAGAACTTTTTTATAGTTTACATCTAATTGTTCGTATTTTTGCTCAATGTTTTTCAATTTAAGGTTTGCGGTTTTCAACTCCTCTTCGGTCCCATTGAAAGTAATGGTTTTACTGTTTACTTGCACTTTAGTTTTCTCGAGCTGCTCATTGACCTGTTTAAATTGTGCTGACAATTTTTCGTATTTTTGCAAAACGGTTTCCAATTTAAGGTTTGCTTCATCCAAATCAGCTTCAGTTTTTTGTAGTGCGTTTGTTTTACTTTTTGATTCTTCGTTTGATCTTTCGAGCTGTTCTTTGAGATGGTTAATGCAATCAGTTAGTTCTTCAGGATCAATTTCAAATTGTGAATCTTTTTCTTGCAACTCCTCTTCAGTTGAATCTTCACATTGTTGATTAGGTAACAGACTGTTATTTGTTATTTCAATTGTACCTTCATCTATGAAGTCGTAATCCTCTGATGCCACATCTACATCTTCTTTTAAACTAATTTCGTCTGAATCGAAATCGAAATTAATCTCAACAATAGTATCGGCAGGTGTCAATTCACTGCTATTAGAAGATATACTGATAGTCTCACAATTTAAAATTTTAACTTTTTTGCAGTTGCTTGGGACTTCAGTGTCTAGCTGTGTCTCATTTCCCCTCTTTATGTTTTTCGATTTCTTAGCTGCATTTCCCAATATTATCCGTTTCTGCTTTATGTACCTACCCGGTTTTAAGTTGTCATGGAGGGAAAAAGGGTAAGTATATCCCGGCGGTGGAATTAAATGCTTCATTGTAGGGGTCGGCATTTTAATCAAAACAGGTCCACCGTTCTCTTCTTCATCAGCGTAATCCAAAGCAATTTCTTCGTTAATGGGCATTAATGTGGGCTCCACATTTTTGGGAAGAATCCGATCCCTCCTGTAATTTTTAAAACACTCAGGTCGAAAATGTCTGGCGCAAATTACTCTATTCTTTTGGAAGGACGGAGGCATATTGAGGAAATGGATTAAGTTTGCTAAGCGCAACCATCGAATGTAGCGTTCCCGGTCATTTACGGGGAAGTGGAAAAAATGCATGCTGGGATGTTGAGATGTCCCAACACTGCAATCACGAAACGAACAGCGACAACCTCCCATAATTGTTGAATCTGTTTTTGAATAAGGAACTCCTTTATTTTCTATTAGGCAGTCTGCACACGGGTCGTATAGCTTTAGACGCGTATAAAATTTCTTATGCAGCAACGATTCCTCAGCCCTTTTTATTAATTTATTATTATTTTTTTCTTCTAGCCTGTGCTAGTTGATGTGAAACGCTAAAAATATAAGCATATCGATTAAAAGTTGACTTTATATCGATTAAACTTTACAAAATCTAATTTCGTTTCGTAAGACGGCTTTTACACCGTTCAAGTACTGAGTCAATTCTGCTTATATATAAAAGAGAGCGTTTTGGGAAGAATTGGGAAGACTACACATGCGTTTGTAGCGCCAAGTCGTTTTAATGGGTCTGCCGGGGTCGGTGTTTTGAATTCTGACGAAAACAGCCTACATAAAGAAGTTTGCGGTAAGCCAGAAGTAAGAGCTGCCTCGTGTTAAACAAAGTCAACATCCACAGTGCGGGAAAGTATGCAAGCGGAGTCCGGCTGGTCGAAGTTTCCAAAAATCCTTAGTCGAGGAAAAGAAACCAAGCGTGTGTCGGCAAAAAGTAAAAAAAAAAAAACTATACGCCAATAGAGGAGGACGCAAATCTGCGGAAGCAAGGACCCTTCTCAAACGGAAGAAAGGCTACCCGCATTGAAGCAGCGCACTTTTGGCCGGCTACGGAAGTACTATAGGAGTGTAGCGCCCACGGGCTAGAGACGGTGGAACAGGCAACAAGTCCCCGGCGAGCTGTAAGTAGCAAACGATAGAAAATCTAATTAGGTATTTATTGTTCCGTCTGTGCGTGGATGCAGATCGGCGCGACACAACTCGCTGAGTGGTAGATTTTAAGCGATACACAAATTTTATGCTTTTTGCGACTGGTCGGTTTCACACTGGAAAATTTCTGCCACCAGAACAACTCTGTTTGTAGGCAAGAGAGGCAGTGCGTTGAGGTAAAGTTTCTCAAAAAATTCTTACACTTTCTACTCCGCATTCTTCTTCTTTTTTGGCGCTGTAACCGCCTAACCGATTTTGGCCTAGTTCAGCAAAGCCCGCCAGTCGCTTCTCCTCTGTGCCAACTGACGCCAATTGGAAACGCCAAGTGAAGCCAAGTCCTTCTCTGCCTGATCTTTCCTCTTCCTCCGCTACCACCAGCGGGTTCCGAGTTGAATACTTTCAGAGCTGGAGCGTCGGTGTCCATTCGAACGACGTGACCAAACCAGCAGAGCCGCTGTATTTTAATTCGCTGCACTATGTCCATATCGTTGTAAGGCTCATACAGCTCATCGTTCCATCGTCTGCGGTACTCGCCATCGCCAACGCGTAAAGGCCCGTAAATCTTCCGCAAAATCTTTCTCTCAAACACTCCAAGAGCCCCCTCATCGGATGTTGTCATTGTCCATGCTTCTGCGCCATATACCAGCACGGGCATGATGAGTGACTTATAGAGCGTGGTTTTCGTACGTCGAGAGAGGACTTTACTCCTGAATTCCCTACTCAGTCAAAAGTAGTACTTGTTGGCAAGAGTGATTCTGCGTTGGATTTCAATGCTGACATTATTATCGGTGGTTCCTAAGTAAACGAAATTCTCTAATTTCTCGAAATTGTAACTGTCAACGGAGACGTGGTGCCAAGGGTCAATCCGACTCAACTAACACCTCTCTCCCTTTGGTCCGACCCCATCGAAACAGCTCGTTTCCTGGGCCTACCGTTAGTTGTGCTTGACGATAATGATTAAAAGTTGACCCGAAACAGGCGGGGCTTAGTAGTGCCGCTACAACAACAACGTGGTGCCAAGGCGAACTTTTTTCACAAAACTAGTTCCAAATACAACGTCGCATTCTTGCGTTTCCTTGGTTTTTTAATTCATGGTAGAAATGGCAACATACAGTTTCTTCTTGTACAGCAAATTATTCTGCTTTCTGATTTCAAGCGCTTTTTAACATAGTGGCCCGTAGTCATAGTCAAAATAAAGTCGACTTTAAAGTTAGTTGCAGCTTTTTTGACAGATATCCCATTGAAAATTATGTCAAAAAGCTGCAACTAACTTTAAAGTCGACTTTATTTTGACTATGACTACCGGCCATTGATAACTTATTGTACGGGAACCAAGTTATTGTTACATGCAACTTGTAATTGGAGCTAGCAAGTTGCAGACCGTTGATAATACGCGTTGTCACTTGGAGTGCGCAAGTAACTTGTGTGGCCGTAGCGTTAGATTGAACGATGCAAAGCAAGAAACGGCAACTCTGCCCGGTGCATGAAATACTCTCGATAGCTTGTAATCGATTATTGATAATGCTGCCACTCCGCTTCAAGACACAAAAGTGTTGGTGTCAAGAAACTATACGCGTTAGATATTTTAAGTTTCTATAATATTTTAAATCCGTGCAAAATATTTTAATACTTTCCTCAGCTCATATCATGTTACAACTGTATAAATAAAAAATGGAATTTTTTCTACTGAGATTTTTCACAGGATCGAGCTCATCGAATAATTTGGCAACGCTGGTGTAAAAGGCGTTTAGGTAGCGGGCGTCGGGATTTAATAAAGTTTATTAATTTTACAGCCGCTGAACAACGTTTGCAAAAAGTGTAAAAATGAAGAAAACCAAACCGATACTTCACGACCCTTTGATAATCAATCGTGTAAAACAGGTAAATGTTTTATATGATGCGCAAATTGCCTATCTCTATTTTAACAAATAGTTGAGGTTATGTTACTGGGGCTTCAAGCGATTTATCCCGGCAATGGAAGCCAGTGCATGTTTGTGGTCAAATTATAATAAATCGTATTTTTCTCGTTTTTACAGTATCTAGAAGAAAATGTTGATAAGAAATTTTTGGATGTAAGTGTTATGACAAGACAATTGATGGAGCGTTATCCAGAATATACGCGTCGCAAGCAAGCGCCTTTTCGGGCTCTAGTTGAGCAGGGTGAGTGCCGTTGTCACATTACCAAAAATATGCACATGCGATCAAACACAAAAACTAGCTTATACATTTATTTTCTGATAATTTTAGCTTACCGTGTTGTATCACAAAGCTATGGTTTGGAAAGTCAGCCGTCAAGTGCAGATGAATCGGATGGTTCTGATTTGGAAGTAATGGATGTAAGGGTTTTACAGTTCTATCAATATTATATTCAAATACATATATTAATGATTAACTTATTTAACTTCTATTTAGGACTCTGTTTCGGGCAATTTGATGAACAATTTAATGAACAATCTGTATCAAAAACCCAAGGGGAACGCTTCAAAGCCTACAGCAGCAAAGCAATCTGCCGGCGAAGCAATTGACATTAGTAGCGATGATGACAGTGCGGATGATAATTGTACCAATGGTAAATCATCGGATGGTAGTAAGTAGCGAAAAGTAAAAATGACCATGTAGGATTTTTAATACAAATTTAATTTTTGAAACAGATGTGAATGCGTCAAGCACAGCAAAATCATTCTCCGGTGTTATTCTTACAAAAAGCAATGCGCCAGTGGAATCATCTTCTAAGGGGTCATCTACATCAGCCACTACGGAAACTACCGGTGTGTTGTCTGTAACATCTGGTGCTCAGAAGCGTCATGAATTTACCGAGTCCACTGATCCACAACAGCAACCAAACAAAAAGCGTAAGTTGGAGTTGAATGGAGGAATATCTCCACAATATTCAAACGCCAATTTGAATATACGCTTAATATCATTAGAAAAGAACGATAGGACTGCTCTGCCATACGAACGGAGTCAAAATGATCATCAACCGCAGGGCATGCGTCAGCATTTACAGCAGCAGCAGCAGCAACAGAACCAGCGTTTCAGTCGCTTGACAAATTGTGCGCAAGCCAGCGATCCTGCTTCAGGCCCCTTTCCAACTTTGGGTTCAAATCAGTTGAATCAATTACGTCAACGCAAATTCAAGAAAGAGGTTGTATTACGAAAGTCACGTGAAACTTTTCAAGATATTGGTGGCATGGAGAAAACTTTGAAAGAGCTCTGTGAATTATTAATGCATATTAAATCGCCGGACATTTATTTCGTTTTGGGCCTGATGCCGCCACGTGGTTTGCTATTACATGGGCCGCCAGGGTGTGGTAAAACTTTACTTGCACATGCAATTTCTGGGGTAACTATAGGAACTTAACTTTTTTTGATTGTTGTAAGTTGGAATTAAAAAAACTTTTCTTTTTAGCAACTCAATTTGCCGCTTATAGAAGTCGCAGCTACAGAACTGATTGCTGGCGTATCGGGGGAGTCGGAAGAACGTATACGAGATGTTTTTGAGCAAGCAACTATTTATGCCCCTAGCGTTTTGTTTATCGACGAAATTGACGCTATTTCATCGAATCGCTCTATGGCACAAAAAGATATGGAAAGAAGAATTGTATCACAATTGATTAGCAGCTTAGATAATTTGAAGATGACAGAAGACGGGCAAAGTGTATTGGTAATAGGGGCGACTACACGACCTGATGTGCTTGATCCAGCATTACGTCGAGTTGGACGGTTCGATCATGAGGTTGCTATAGGCATTCCATCGCGTAAGGATCGCAAAGATATATTGACAATAATTTGTTATGGACTCTCGGTGGATCCAAAGTGTGACTTTGATAAAATAGCAGAGCTAACACCAGGTTATGTTGGCGCTGATCTCTTGGCACTTGTTTCACGTGCTGCAACTATAGCTGTGAAGAAAAAGTACGTAATCGAATGAATTGTTTAAATTTACATTAAAGTTAAGAGTGTTCGCTATGCAAAAAACTTGTACAAGTTGGTACCATTTGTCGTTTGGGTAAAAACCCAGTAAAACTTGCAAGGAGAGAGCACAGTTTTGACATTTAATTAGAAGGGGAAGTTGCAAATTCGTGCTGGGGAAATTTTTGCCAGCGAGAATTCGCAAGCAGGATTGTGGCACACGGTTGCATTTTTCTAAACTTTAATTCGAATCAACAAGTTCGTCAAATTTAAAAATGAACAATCTTGCGATTTACTAATGAAAGTATTATGTAAATATTTGTCGTTTCAATTAATTCTAAACATTTGAGAGGCAGTCGACTGAAAAAGCTGTATTCGTAATCGGAACGCAGTTGACGATATAGGAAATCCGTCAGTGACTTCCTCAAAGAAATTGAAGCGTATGTTGAAGACTTATAGGTCCTGTTTTGTTTTCCACCTGAAATAATTTAAAAAATGTATTCGAGATGCACCCGTGGACGCCAGCTGGCAGGGAAGCTTACAAATGTTTGCTAATTCCTGTTCGCGCAAAACTTAGTAAGTTTCTATCTTAGGGAGAGTAAGATACCTTATTCTCTGAATTTTGTTACTGGCTAATTCTTACTGGCATTTGCATAGCGAACAGAACTATTAACATATATTTTCATCCTTCCCACTTTCGCACTTAAGTAAAATTAATTAATTAAAAGTTATTATTACTGTAATTTACACTGATTGCATTTTTTTTACAGATGTGCTGAGTGTATTCGCGCATTCCAGTTAGAATCGCAACGCAACATTACCATCGTCGATTTGGACGATGAGGCCGACGAAAGCGCAGACGTCAGCAGCAAACAAGCAGATCAAAGCAAATCTGGCAAAGATGAAGTCTCGAATGAAACCAATTCCAAATCAAAAGAAGAAACAGTAAATGAAGAGCAATCAAAGGACAAGAACAGCGATGCAAAAGAGGCAGATGCTGACGCTGAGAAAAAAACGGAAAGTAATACCAATGGATCGGCAAAGGAAACGTCATCAAATCCAGGTAAAAAAGACACAGAAGCAATGGATGTTGATGATGAAGACCAAGAGTCCACTAAAGGCGAAGAAAATACAAACAATACCACAAAAGTACAAGTGGCTGACAGTAGCGAAAAACCCACTGAAGAGGTTTCTACCAACGAGCAGAGTAAATCAAATGAATCCACAAATTCGACATCGAAGTTAGAAACTATAGCCGACACACAGAATTCTTCAGAACCATCACTTTTAGAACTCTTAAATTGGCTGGATAATCCCCCTTCGGATTTGTCATACGCTACCGAATTCTGCATAACAGTGGATGATTTCTTAGAAGCAGTGAAAGTTGTACAACCGTCATCGAAACGTGAAGGCTTTATAACAGTGCCTGATGTAACGTGGGCCGATGTCGGTTCATTACATGATATACGTGAAGAGTTGCAATTGGCAGTGCTGGCACCAGTGAAATTTCCCGAGAAGTTAATTACTTTAGGTTTGACGGCGCCTTCCGGTGTGTTGCTGTGTGGCCCGCCAGGTTGTGGTAAAACTTTACTTGCCAAAGCTATAGCCAACGAGGCAGGCATCAATTTTATATCAGTTAAGGGACCGGAGTTAATGAATATGGTAAGTACACTCCCCCCCCTGAGAGGCAAATAAACCATAATCTATATATTCCTCTTGGTAGTATGTGGGTGAAAGCGAGCGTGCAGTGCGCGCGTGTTTCCAACGGGCACGTAACTCGGCGCCATGTGTAATTTTCTTTGATGAGTTTGATTCTTTGTGTCCGAAGCGGTCGGATAATAATGAAGGTGGTTCGGGAACGCGTGTTGTCAATCAATTACTTACAGAAATGGATGGTGTTGAAGAACGTAAAGGAGTCTACATTTTGGCAGCAAGTAATCGGCCAGACATAATAGATCCAGCTATACTACGTCCCGGACGTTTGGATACTATACTCTATGTAGGGCTGCCGCAGAAAGAAGAGCGCGTGGAAATACTAAAAGCTACAACAAAGGTAAGAAACTAAAAAAAAAAAATTTATATAAAATATTTTTTTTTAGTTAAAAAAAATTACATAATCTTCAATTGACAGACAACAGACAAATACAAAAAAAAATAAAAATAAACTAAAAAAATAAATAAATTTTAAATTAATAAAAAAAAAGAAAAAGAAAATATAAAAGTTAAATAAAACACAAAAATTAAAATGCGGTTCAAAAGTAAATAATAATAATAGTAATGTAATAAAAAAGTGAATTACAAAATTAAATAAAATAAGAGAACTTTAATAAGACATTGAAAAAGACTTGTAATAATAAGATTAAATAAAAAAACAAGCAATAAATAAAATATATACATATGTGCATCATACATATGTACATAAGTAATAATAAAAACATGAATTCAAAAATTAAAACAACAGGATTAAACAAAATATAAACAAAAAAAAAAAAATATAAAAAGTAGAAAAAATGAATTACATACATACGCAGTAAAATAAAAATATAAGAAAAGTATCAAAATATATGTAACAGTATTTATAAAAAAAAAAAATAAAAATAACGCAAAAAAAACAATACAAAATTAAAATAAAACCAAAAATAAAACACTGAATAACAAAATTTAAAATAAATACAAAATATATAAAGAAAAAAATATAATAAAGAAAAAAATATAATAAAGAAAAAAATATAATAAAGAAAAAAATATAATAAGGAAAAAAGTATAATAAAGAAAAAAATATAATAAAGAAAAAAATGTAATAAAGAAAAAATAAAGGAACAACAAATAAAAAGAATTAAACAAATTATAATAAAAATTTAAAAATAAAAAATAAAACTTAAATATTAAAATTAATACAAAAAAAAAAAATTAAATAAAAACACATAAAACAAAATAGTTACAAATCTAGAAAAACAAGTAAACCATTAAAAATAAAAAAAGAAATTAAAAAAAAAATAAATAAAAAACAAACAAAAAAATAATTAGAAAAATGGAACAAGAATAGCTATAAAACAAGAAATTTTTAAGCAAAAATCAAAACCGACTACAATTTTCATATAAAAAATGAAGATTATCGTTAATGTCTTTATGATCCAATGATTCGATCTAAACCAAATTAGTATGGAACCACGCCTGAGGTAACACCTTTCCTTTAAAAAAGAATTATAGAAATCGGTCAACGTGGTCCAAAGTTATGCTGTAACATATGTACATAAAAAATATATATATATATATTCCGACGAATTGATAACCTTCTCCTTTTTTTGAAGTCGGTTAAAAATCAATAAGGACTGTTTGCTTAAGTTTGATAGTGATTTTTTCATTGACACAATTATTTCATTCTTCCATATTTTGAATAGAATCGTACACGACCTGAATTAGCTGATGATGTAGACTTTGCTGAACTAGCCGAAAACTCTGATGGTTATACCGGTGCTGATTTGGCTGGCCTAGTGCGGCAAGCAGCAATGTTGGCCCTGAAAGAGTCTATACAAAATCCGGATTCTACAGATTTACGTGTACGAAAGGAACATTTTGATCAAGCGCTGAAACTATTGCGACCTTCAGTTACTCCACAGGTTAGTTAATACACATAGTACCTACTTTCAGTAAGTTAAAAAAAAAAAATATATGAATAACTTCATTTGTTTCAGGATCGCAAAAATTACGAAAAATTGCGTTTAAAGTACGCTGCACCGAGAATCCCCACAACTGCGACAGATAATGCAGAATAAATATTTTAGAAATGAATATAACAAAATAGTTCGCGATAGATTACGATTAAAAAAGGATAATTGTTGTAGCTCATCGCATCAGCAACTATAAAATATGCGTTTTTAATACATAAAAATACATTACTCAATCCGATTGGCGTTACTATCCTTGTTCCGGCATCTCATCCATGTACAAGTTCTAGCTTAGTTTTCAGCAAGTGTTTAGAGTATGACTTGAATTTAATTTTCCGTTAACAATTCACGTTGTGAATTAAATTTCGTTATATGTATTTTGTAAATCATAAAAACATTTACTTATGGATTATAAATAAAGCGAAATGTGCATGTCTAAAGGTATGCAACAGATGAATTGTGCGCAAGAAGAATTTATTTAATCTTCGAAAATATTGCAAATGCTTACCTCACTTTTTAAATTTTGGATTTTATGACCTTTTAGAATGCGCATATGTACGCTCATGCATCTCTTAATTTATACAAAAAAAAGTAAAAATACTAAACGAAAAGAAATTAACTCTTAACACACATATTCATATACATACATATTAGTAAATAAAAAAAAAAACACTGTCTTTGGTACATCAGAATATTGCTTATTTCACTGAAATACAAAATATGCAATAAATTTTACAATTTATAAACGATTTATTCAACACTTGACAGGCACTTGTGTATTTTTTAAGACATCATTATTGATGACGGGCAGAGCTGCATCGTAGAATGGCTGCTTATCAATTGTCGATGTCGGAGGCTGCTTAGTAATTTTCATGTTTGCCCGTTGCAGCTGTGCCGTTTGGTCTTTACTGGTCGCTGTATTGGACAACAGCGTTTCTGCTGGATATAAACATGGCGGCACTAGATCATAAGCCACTTTGCACATCTCCCGTATGCCGAGCCAACTTTCATGCCCAATGGGACTGATCGACTCCGCTGGCGGCTGGAAGCCCAAAGCATGCGATGGCAGTTCCATAACTAAAGCTAATGGTACTTGTATCACTCCGAAAGCGTAGTCAACAATTGAGCCCGATATACGACGTTTGCTTAATCTAAGAAATATGAGAATACATATTGCAAAAGATTAAATGTGCATTCATTTTTATTTTAATTTCAAACTTTCACATCTACGAACATGGCTATGCTTCCGACACGATAGTGGCGTCCGTTGTAGGCTTTAATGGCATTGCGGCCGGTTAATGCCAACTTTTCCAATTTCTGCCATGTCTCAGGAAGCTCTCTGGAATGGTATTTAAAAGAGAACAGTATTTAATTTACATATATGGTATTGTATCGCACGTTTGATAATATACAGAAGTATTTCAAAATTTAAATTTTGTTGGAAAACGCAATCAAAGTTTGTCAAAGTTTGATCAGTTCATACAATTGGAATACCAAAAGACTGATAGAAATATGCATATTCTTTTTATCAAGCTTATTAATTGTATGTTGAAATTTCCAAAAAAAACGTAGGTAGATTTTGAATTACATGAACGGAAATATTAGCTCTGATCCAGCACTCCATGAACTTACAGGATTTTACACGAACTTACAGGAAGTTGCAGGAAAAATGTTACCGTACTCCAAAATCCTCCAAAATCCTGTAATTGAGAGCGACTTTTGGAGAGTTGTGTACAGAATGAAGTTGCAAGAAATTACCCGAACTTTTTCTTCTGGTAAAATCATGAAAAGTGTCAAGCAATCACTGGTTGACGTTTTTACAGGAAAAATGGTTTTTTGTTCCCGTACTTTTTGTTGTTACTCACTTTTTACTCTCACTTCAGAGAGTAATTTTGCTGTTTGACAGTTTTACAGGATTTTTCACGAAAAGTATTGGATCAAAGCTATTAAACATCATTTGATGACTTCCAGAAAATAAGTATATGAATCAAAATTCCTAAAATAATCACATATTAATAATAATAGATTGGCGCTTACACATATCGAGCCCTAACCGCGAAAATAACGTGAGCGACGTTTTTTAAATTTTATTTTTTGATGCAGAAATGCATCTAGTTGCCATAGGAATATTTCTGCATACAAAAACAATTTTGAAGAAAATGTCGTTTACATTTGTGGCATGCGCCTTGATGTAGCAAAGCTTCAATTACAAACGTGTATGAACGCTTTGCTCTTCACTATGCGCTTTCCCATTGAAACATATGCGTTTGAAAACGACGCTTTGCTCGATGCTCTTTGCTCGCCGCTCCACTATGTTTTTGGCCTATGGGTAAGAACATAGTAGATCGGCATAGTGAAGAGCAAAGCGTACATACACGTTTGTAATTGAAGCGTTGCTCGATGCTAGCTCTTCGCTTTGCTCGCCGCTCCACTATGTTTTGACCCTAAGTCTTCATCCCCTTTTTTTCGTTTTGGATTTCGTATTCATCTTTGTCGTGGCCTCGTCTTCATACCGCTAGCTGATTGGAAGATCGCCTTATTTCAGCTGCCGCTTCGAAAACGCGCTATCTCAGCAAACGGTTGAAGAACGCCCTATCTTAGAATTCGTTTGAAAAACGCCCCATCTCAATATAAATTCAATATATCGGCAGCAGAGATAGGGCATTTTCGAATATCCAGCTGAGAGATAGGTCGATCTTCCACTCAGCGGTCGATATACTATGTTCTAAGTGCTTTCAATGCTATTCTGAAAGAAACTTGTATCATCAAAGTTAACGCGCTGAGCGTGTAAAACAATGCTACATACTACTCATACTCGGAGAACACTTTTAAGTACTAAATACTAGACTCCCTCTCACCGCACTTTAAACGCATGAACTCACTTGCAATATGCCCACGGGTACATAATACACTCGGCATACGAGTGCAATGACAGAAAGAATAATAAATGTTGCTTATTCTTTTGCAAAATATTGCGAATGGCGCGCGTTTCCGGTTCAGAAAAAGGTTTCACACCCTTATAGGTATTGCGTGTAACTTTCGACGGACCATCTTCCCAGTGAAAATCATAATTACGATTACAATCGGTACCGATGTGACGAGTATGACTGATCGGTCGACGATTTTTGCGCCAACGACGATTCTTTGTGAAAGTGTACTCGTAGCCATCGGGATTCGTGACGGGCACAATGATGAAGCGCAACTTACGCAACAACTCGTAGTTGCGTATATGCTTTTCGGTTAGCTGATAGATGCAGTTCAGCGCCACAGCGATGGTGATCCATTCGCGTGCATGGGTGCCACCTTCGATGAAGATCATATTACGACTATGGAATGCACTCTGCACTCGGTTAGTTGACAGCGGCGGAGGCGGCGGCGGAGGCGGCGGCGCGGTGGCTGTTGCCACAGTTTTATCCATATAAGTGCGTCGTGCACGGTGTCGTTCGATGCGATCCATATTCTTTTCGCTATTCCAATCGATTTCGATAGCTTTCAGCGCGCGACGTTCGTATGACTGCCCAAGCGTATGCACCGTGACAAAGTTGTAGCGGTTCTGCAGATATTCCAAGTAGAGATTGATCTCATCGTGACGCAAGTAACCGTGTAGCACGTCGGGGCGTGGCACAACAAGTTTCCTGAATTTTGATAGAGATACCGTCTTTTTGGCGCGCTTTTTGGTGGCGTGCTTCTTCAATTTGTGCGGCATTTCACGGCGACTTAATTATATAAATTCAAAAAAGCGCCGTGGAATTTTCACTTAAAAAGTTGCAAAGACTTTTAGTTTTTTAATTTTATAATGACATTTATTAACATTTAATTTTATGAAATTACTCGTTTAATTCGAATAGTTAAAATTACGAGATTTAAATTTATTTTTTTTCTTAACTTTCACCAGAATTCGAAAGAACGAAATTACAAATGTAAAAACGAAACTCTCTGTTGTTAATGTCAGCCCGATTTTCGAAAACGGATTTTGTAGAGAATTTTCAAGTCCTTCGTATGCCGCGTTTTGCTAAACTCTACCGCCTGTTAGATGTGCGCCGAATGGTGAATGGAATGAGCATTCTTTGTATGAGTAGCATACTTTGGAGCTATTTTGCAAATAGCGAAACGAACTGTTAAACTTATGCTTCTTACGTAGGTATCTATGTACATTAGACCGTACCAGAAAAAACGTTCTCGGTACACCCCTAGTTCTAAATTATTTTTGCAGAGCAATTTCGATTAAATGTTTTTCCCGGCCGAACGTAGTGGTCGGCTTTTCACCTTTTTCATATCATATCTCCGCTATTTACAGTCGAATTTTAAAGTTTGATAAATCGCTGTTCTTGTCCTGGGAAAATTCTTTTTTTGTTCGAAACTTCATTGACCTCAAGTTCTAGTACTTACCCACCAGATCTCAGTTCCTACCACCCTAATACCAGTAAGTTCATACTCTCTAAAAGTCATTAAACATTTGATTATTCCAGGCGAACTACCTAAATGTTTTTCCGGATTGCAGGTGTCAATGAAAAATTTAAACAGACCCCTAGGTTCGGCCAAAATTTTTTTTTTCCAAATTGCCTTGAAAAAAAAAAATACTTTAGACACAGTGGTCTCTGGCCAACTTTTTTGTTTGCCTGTGAGGTGTCACGGCCTAATGTAAATCCATGCACGTAAGTATCATTACGTATACGTACATTGATACATGAAAGTATGTATGCGACTGGATGTGACATCAAAGAGCCCTCATTTCACTTGCGATAGCGGTAATTTTACTACCCAGCTGGAAATTTGATTAAAGCAAAACAATAATAGAGTTAACTGAGAAATGAAGGAATGACGCTTTAATATACAGATCGATCACAAGTACTCGCAATGATAAAAGTATTCGCATTCCTATTCGTATTTGCATTGGAATTTGTATCAGTGTTGCCGCATCAAATAAATTTTTTCTAACAAAATGTTCACACAAAATCTAGCAAAACTTAAAGACCATTTCAACAGTTTTGAACAAGGCCGATTTTCAAAGAAAAATTACTAAATTCTTAAATTCTATGTTAAGAAAAGCAAATTCAAAATTTATGTGTCTGAATAAAAATCGACACGCTTTACTTCATAATAATGATACCAGTATATTTCATTTATCTTTTTCTATAAAGACGAAAGATATTTATTTTTGCCAATTTTCACTTGAATTTGATTATTTAAGCAGTTCCACCCTCTTAAAAATTGTTTCCAACCTATTAGAGAAAATGGCCCTTAGACTTTTAAATAGGTGCCAACCACTTTTAAAAATATTTTCGAAATAAAGCCTTCTCAATGAAATTTTGTTTCACTTGACATCATTTTTTAATGTTTCATTTCATTTATTGATTACATTTAATTTTAATTTTTAACAGGCGGCAACCCTTCTTAAAAACATCTTCGAAACAAAGCTTTCTAATATCTCTATCGATTGACACTAATATTCTAATA